AGTTATATGGCGGTGGTCTGTAAATAATCGAGTCTGGACAATCCAGTGATCAACAACATGAGCATCGATCTACGCAATTGAGATACGATGACATGTGTCAACCATGTCAGCGAGCCTGACAACCCGACCCCGTTAGTCGACTCTTACGACAAGCATGGGTTACGAGTGACAGAGTTAGCGAATTAAATTTCTTAAAATGGTTTGGATAAACTTGAAGATGGTCACCAACAACGCAAACCCCAAACTACCCCGACAAAAAAATGTCAGAACTCTCTTCGATTCCTTTAGTCTTCATTAGAGCTTCAGGCTTAGTTGTTAGTTCAACAATATCTACATATATATGGACAACGCTACGTCACCCATGCAGGGCGGTGGGGTAACCTAGTGGTTAATGCGTTCGATCGTCACGCTGAAGACCCGGGTTCAATTCCCCACGTAGGTACAATGTGTTAAGCCCATTTCTGCTGTTCCCCACGGTGATATTGCTGGAATATTGCTAAAAGCGGTGGAAAACCATACTCACTCACTGTTTGTTTTCAATATATTACGCCTTTGGCCCAAATGAGTATAATATTTTTTTAATTCTGCTTATAATGTTGTTTCAGCTCACAACAGTAAAACATGTGTACACAGCATTTGTGTCCTTCAGTGCATTATTCACTGCAGTATAAACATGCCTGCATTCATTAAGTCATACTCACTCACTCACCCATCCATGCAATTGTGGGTCAAGGGAATGAATGTAAAGTGAGTGAGTGAGTTTAGTTTTCGCCGCACTCAGCGATATTCCAGCTATATGGCGGATGACTGACTGACTGACTGACTGAGTTTTGGTTTTACGCCGCTTTTAGCAATATTCCAGCAACATCACGGCGGGAGACACCAGAAATGGGCTTCACACATTGTACCCATGTGGGGATTCGAACCCGGGTCCTCGGCGTGACGAGCCAACGCTTTAACCACTAGGCCACCCCACCGCCCCATATGGCGGATGAATGTAAAGAGACACATATGATGGTCATATCAGCCTACCTTACAGACAGCTAGTGTTTACAATGATTGATAGTTGTTTAACCCAGCAGTCAGCAATAGTCCAGCTCTATGGCGGACTAGGGTTTACAGGGTAAAAATGTCTGCGCTCTGAGCATAACTTGTCTTCCACCACTGAGCATCTTTGAGGTGGATATTAGGCGCTCTACAAATATATGTATACATTTCACCATAACGCGTGAAAAGATAGCGCCCAAAAATATATATTCTGATCTGATAGTCTGAATATTTTTAGATCGGTTGATTGTTATATGAATACTTTGAAAAGCCTATATGTCCAGCCGAATTAAAATGAGAACTTTACATACATTCAAAACAGGTGTGTGCTTGTTGAAAATGACAATACACCTATACAGAAGAGTGAGTGAGTTAAAATGTGAAGTCACATCGGCAGTATCTCTGCCATATCGTGACCCTAAACACAAGAACATAACAGGTAGATACAAGACGGTAGCACAGTGGTTAAAGAGTTCGCTCGTCTCGCAGAAGACCCGGGATCGATTCTTGACATATGTGAAGCCTATTTCTGGTGTCCCCCGCCGTGATATTGCTGGAAATTTGCTAAAGGCGGCGTAAAACTTGTCTCATTCACTCCTAGATCAGTAATAAAGGTTTGGTTTTTTGTGCCGTTGGTATTCGGTAGAAAAACTGTGGGAAAACTTGTATTTTCCTCATTTCTTGAAAGAATCAAACAAATATTTCTTCAGGGGTTCTCAGCGGTACATGCATGTAATTAACACAGCGGCATAACACAACATTCAGTTGCGCCTTCTTCGTATTAGTCCGCTTTGATCAACCTCCATGTATAAAGTGTCATATACAATCAATTACCTACAAACAATAAGAACAAATACATGTTGATTGGAATGTTTCAATCCTTTCGTACCATAGTCTATTTCAATCGTTGTTTACTTCAGTTTATCGCGCTTTCGGCCTGAGAACATGAATGCACTCGTCTCTCGTGGGATACACAGATAGTGATTACGTAATACGCAAACCTCACCGCAAACATGGCGTAGTGGGAGCCTCGTTCTCATTCCCCGATTGCCACGAAACGGCGGAGGGCGTGAAGAGCTCGTGATACACGTGCAAACAGGTTGTCGGCTGGAAGCGTGGATGTCAATCATCAAAAACGCCGATTTCTGTACATCCTCGTCAATTGGCGGAACTTTGATTAAAGAGCGAGAGGCAGAAGTCTTTGATTAAGGAAATATTATATCATATTGACCGGTAAATGACGGAAGCATTTTGAAGAATTATCACTTCAAACGTTGAAACGTTTCCGCGTATATTTGCACCGATTCCTGTTTAATCTAAAGAGAGGGGGTGATGATTGAATCACGTAATGGCAAGCTTCCGAGATTTATATTAATTATTGAGGTTGCGCACGTGCTCTTCAGAGGGCAAAGGTCGTAACTGCCCAAAATTCAAATTTGGAAACTGAGCGTTTGTTACAGCCATCATTCTCTCACACACACGCATGCACGCACACCTATATATCTATATATCTCTGTATATATATATATATATCGACCACAGTAGACACTGCATAGAAAACATCTTAAAAGACAACATCTCAAACAACGACTCTCAAGAATGTGCTTCATTTGTAATAATTTGTATAGTTAATAGTTAGAAACAAGCTATTTTTTGCAAATCTGACAAAGTTTTTTGACTAAATCACGATGTGAATTCAGTTTATTGCCCAGGACTTATGAATCGATTTATTTAAATGAGTTATTTAGCTCTTTTTTGTACGAATATTATCAATGTATACACAATTGCTGAATAACTGTTTATTTATTGAAATATAACGTGCGAATATGTCATTTACGTACACAAAGGATGCGTAAGTATTTAAAGCAATATTTATTTGAACTATTTGGGCAAGTTATTAATCTCTATACACAAAGTATGCAAATAATGCCGGTGTTTATTCACACAATAATAACGCGGATTCTCCACGGGTATGTTCAATATGATATGCTAATGAATAAATATTTGTTGTTTAATAAATAAATATTTGTTGTTTGTGCTTGCTTTGTTTAACGACAGCGTAACGGCTGCGCGGTCACAACGACCACATCTACATCGACGCCTGCAGATGATTAACTGTTTGTGTCCAGCCCCTCACTAGGCTCTTGTATCAAAACATGAATTTAGAACGGAGCCTGTTAATGCAGACACTTTAGAATGTTTCCTGAAATTATATGTACATTCAGAGCTACAGATAACTTTTGGGGTCATTGAGTTATGTACTCGCTTCTGTTCATCTCGATTTGTTATCCTAATTTTCCTTTGAGTAACCAAATAAATTGTACTCACCTCACTCAAACTCAATTGGGTATTTTGCGATTTTCTATTAATTTTAAAAATATAAAAAAGTTTTAATGTTAGTGTTTGTTATTTATATTTGATCTGTAATATGAAAAACGATAAGAAAGACTGCAAGTTGCCAAGTTAATGTCCTGAAATAGAACCTCTCAGTAAACCTCAGTTATTTTATCTATCCGCCGGTACACTAATATTTGACATTTTCGTGTGTACGCATGTAAGATCACATTTATCGAGTATTTACAAAAATTCAAGCGTACTTGTACGCAATAGACTTAATAGGAATTAAGTTTTCACATAAATATTTGCGCAATTTACGAAGATACCTCTGTACCTCTGTACATGTATATATAGAAGACTCCTCTTAGACCGGCACAAGCATAGGTTGCTGAAGACCATTTCCAACTCGGATCTTCAAGGGTTCGATTTGTGTAAATTACACAGGTATATATTGTATTACGTCAATTAAAGACGTGAAAAGAAGAGAGTGTTCTTTAATCTTCTTTTGACAGGTAGCATAGTGGAACGCAGTGGAAGCTGGTAAATTACGTAGTCAAGGGACAACAGAGCACTTTTCTGTAGTTTTTTTACAGTTTTATTCCCAAAGAGTTTATAATCCCCAATATGTACAAATATATTTACAGAAATATTGATGTGTCCAATTATGACACAATATGTGTCTCCAAATATTGACACTATATGTCCAGATATGACACTATAAGAGTGTGTCCAAATATGACACTGTTCAATGGCGTGTTCACAAATATGAACTTTACAAAGGCGTGTCCAAATACGACACTACACAAAGGAGACACCAAATGTGTGATCTCTAATGCGTTCAATGAATTCTTCAATAACTATCAAATTTCAAGTTTCTCAAATAATGTCTACAAATTAGACACACAATATTCAAAAGTTACTTCAAATTCATATATCAGAAAGACACACAAGGAGACGGTCACCAAAGTATGACTGCTCTCATACAAGTCAAGAACCGAAGTGTAGCAACCACGTGCTAATCTGCACGGGATGCAGCAGCAAAAATGTCAATTTCAAATGCGCGTTCGCTCGAACGTTTTAGAATGTCCATGAACGGGAGGTGTTCGGGCGAGTCCTTCTGTCCATTCCCCCCTCCATGATAAAACTATCATTTAATTCGAGTGAAAAATCAGAATCTAAAACATTAAACAGTTCAATATTTCATCACTGGAAAGGAAAAAAACATGCTTTGCAATCACTTTACAAAACACCATACTCACAAGTTTTGACTTCATAGAATTTCTGGAATATTTCCAAAAGAATCAAGCACATACTCCACATGAAATGAAAATCACATTTTCGAAACATGAATATACACACACAATTCCAAATCTGAAAATAAAGCACATTTCAAGCATAAGTACATACACATTATTGCATTTCACAGATTTAACACCAATCCGGGAATCCTATTGAATATGAATCATCACATCTCAGATATATATTACACGGAACTCACTTCACTTAATGTCTGTTTCTCCTCATCTTTCATTGTCCATAATTCTTCCTCTTCATCTGTCTTGTCCTTCCTTGGTATCTGTCTTGTCCTTCCTCTTCATCTGTCTTGTCCTTCCTCTTCATCTGTCTTGTCCATCCTCTTCGTCTGTCTTCCCCAGCTTGTGGTCCTGTCCTTCCTGTCCATCTATCCGCTCTACATCCTCTGTCGCCACCTCTAATGGACATACTTTTGACACTGGCCTTGTCAAAATTTTTCTTTTCAGTTTTATGTCCACGACTCGCACATGCCCATCTGAACCAGGATATGTTTTGACAATTATCCCCAGGTTCCAAGTACCGCGTGGAGCATCAGGTGAAATGAGAAGCACTACATCGTTAACTCGAAGATCTCTGCTTGGAGTGAACCACTTCCTTCTACATTGGAGAGAAGGTAGCCATTCCTTCATCCATCTTCTCCAAACATGTCGTACTAGTTCTTGAACCCTTCTCCATCTTTTTCTGGGACTGAAAGAGGTAGTGTCTACCGAATCTGGTGCAAAGATTCCTCCACACTGACCATGGAGAAAGTGGTTTGGTGTTAATGGAACATCATCACCAGGATGTGCACTTTGATATGTGAGAGGACGTGAGTTGATAAGTCCTTCTGCAGCAACAAAAGCGGTTATCAGCTCTTCATCAGTGATGTCCCCAGAACCAAGGATAGCAAAAATAGCCCTCTTCGCTGACTTGATCATTGATTCAAACACCCCCAAAATGAGGAGCCTGGGGAGGATTAAAAACCAACGAACACCTCGATTTGCTAAAGAGTATTTCACTTTGTCTGAATCTAGCTTGGAAACTAGTTGCTTCATTTCATTTGCGGCCCCAACAAAGTTGGTACCATTATCAGATATCACTTCTGATGGCAATCCTCGTCTACTTGTCATTCTATAGAATGCATTGAGGAATGAGTCAGTATCAAGGGCATATGCCATTTCAAGGTGAACCGCCCTGGTTGCCAGACAAGTAAACAGGCAAAGATAACGTTTGTTTCTTGCTTTACCGCGTCCTTGAATTGTCAAAATGGACCAGCAAAATCCACACCTGTGGTATCAAAAGCACGGAGAGAATGCCTCAGACGAACCTTCGGGAGTGGAGCCATGATTTGAGTGGCAGGTTTTGCCTTTCTACGACGACAAAATGCACATTCACGTTCCCATTCACGGATTGCCTCACGACCAGCTATGATCCAAAACCTAGATGACAACGTTGACAAGAGTTGATTTGTCCCAACTGCATGTTTACCATCTTCATGGTGTTGCTTCACAATTAATTTTGTGACCCAGTTTTTTCTTGGCAAGATAATTGGAAATCTTGTTTTGAATGGCAAAAACTCAGCATGCTCAAGTCTGCCACGTGATCTAATGAGACCATCATCATCAATAAAAGGATCCAGACCCAAGAGTTTGCTATGTTTGGACAAGGGTTTGGACGTCTTTAATGACGAATACTCCTCTGCAAATGCTACTCTTTGCATTTTGACTATGATTTGCTTTTCTGCATCAAGAATTTCTTCTGCTGATAAACAACCTGTCAGTCTTTCCAAACACTCAGAAGAAATATTGTTGACAAATCTATGCACCCAAGCTGTAATTCTGACAAGTTTCTTCCAACATGAAAAATCTGATGGTTCCAACAAAGAAACTGAATTTGAATATGCCACCAAAGTGCGAGTTTCTTTGATGTTTTTTGACTCTTCAGTAATTGTTGACTCTAACTTCATTGGTTGTTCTGGCCAATCACTTTCTTTCAGTTTCAAGAACTTTGGACCACAATTCCAGGTTTCTGATGACAAGTTAGGAAGTGCTGTTCCTCTGGTAAGTATATCTGCAATGTTCAGTTCTGTAGATACATGCTTCCACTGTGATGGTTCAGTATGTTCCTGGATGAATCCAACACGATTAGCCACAAATGTTTTGAAATACCGACTATGGTTTTTGATCCAACACAAAACATTCAAGCTGTCAGTCCAAAAAGTTGCGAAAGAGGTCGCTACTTCTAGAGCATGATCAACAGACAGCAGTAACCTAACTCCCAGTACTGCAGCCATTAACTCAAGTCTTGGGGTCGAGACTGCCTTCAATGGAGCAACACGACTCTTGGAAGCTACGAACTGGCTGGAAACCTCACCATTTCTGTAAGTATTTACACAGTAGACAACTGCGCCATAAGCATCTTCTGACGCATCAACAAAAACATGCAATTGTTGTTCCCTAACCGGAAGGTTCTGTTGCAAGCATCTAGGAAACCTTAACTCATTCAACTCTGACCTTTCTGAAAGCCATACTAATGCCTTTTGTTTCAGCTCGCCAGTGAGTTCATCATCCCAATCCAGACCACAAAGCCAAAGCTTTTGCATAATAACTTTTGCCCTAATATGAAATGGAGAAAGGAAACCAAGTGGATCGAACAACTTTGCAATTTCCCTAAGGAAACCCCTTTTGGTAAGTATGAACTGATCATCTGAGGATGAACGCCGAAAGCAAAATTCATCATCTTGAGCAATCCAAACAAGTCCAAGTGTGTTAGCAGACGGCAACTCATCTTTTATCAAGTTGACTTCTGATGCTCTATCTGGTACAGGAATGATCTCTAAGACTTCTGGTGAATTCGACAACCACTTTCTGGACTTCATTCCAGCTTTACCCCAAAGTTCTGTAAGTTGCCTGTACAGAATTTTACCATCCTCAATATCGTTCACCGAATCCATGCTGTCGTCCATGTATGTCGACTTGCAGACAGTTTCTGCAGCTTTTGGGAATACATCTTCATGTCTACGAGCATTCTCTCTGGAAATGTACTGTGCAAGGAAAGGTGAAGCATTTACACCAAAGACAACCCGTGTGAATTCATAAATTTGAGGGAGGTTTGTTTGATCCATTGATCGCCACAAAAATCTGAAGAAGGAACGATCTGCAGGAGGTATTCCTATCTGTAGATACATTTCTGCTATGTCACACACTAATGCGATGGGGTATTTGCGAAAGCGAAGAAGGATTTCAAACAAATCACCTTGGAGTTTAGGACCCTGATGTATGGTATCATTTAGAGATATACCCTGGCACTTTGCTGAAGCATCAAAACTATTCTCACTTTCGTGGTAGTCCGATCTGGTTTTACAACTGGAAAATGTGGCAACAACCACTGATTCCCTGATATATCTGCATTTTCAACAATCCGAATATATCCTTTTCTAAGGTAATCTGTGATAGTTTTCTCATACATTTCAGCAACAACACTGTCTTTTGACAATTTCTTCTCAGTACTACACAACCGTTTATAGGCCATGTCATAATTTTCCGGGAGAGACTGAGGACCAGCCTTCCACGGTATGCCAATTTCATACCTGTCATTTTCATACTTGATGGTATCTTGGACAGATGAAATGACGGATGCATCTTGTTTTGTGAATATAGGACCATCAGACTTAAAGTCTTCTACTTCCCAGAATTTGTGAAGCATTGAATTGAGATCGAAGTCCTTTTTTGACCCAGCTGTGAAAAAAGTATTGGAACTATGATCATTGTTACAACCAGAAACGTTTCCAACACAAGTCCACCCAAGTGGGGTTAGTCTGGCGATAGGTTGCCCCTCACCTCCAGCTACGTCCTCGTACGAACGGTGGAGTTCCAGGTAATCCATCCCAATGAGCAAGTCAATAATCAGTGGAGTCTGAACTTTAGGAAAAGGTATTTGTTTCAAGTGTGGCCAATGTTTAGAGTGATTTTGCCAATCTACAACTTTCATCTGACCTGTAACTCTAGTTGTGGTCAAAGCAGAAAGACACATATCAATTACACCATCCAAACTTTCAATACCAAACTGAACAGATTGTGAGGCAAATTTCTCATTTTTGCCATTGAGCACATTGACCGAGACCATTTGGTCTTGACCCATCAAACCAAGTTGACAAGATACATCTTCATTGATGTAAGTCTGAGTACTTGCATCGTCAAGCAATGCATTTACAACTATACGCTTGTCACCATGTTTTACTACAACAGGTACTGTGCGCAAAGAGACAAGCTCTGCCTTGTGAGAATGTGTAGATGACATTGTTGTGACCTTAGAGTCACGACCTTGAGATGTAACTGACTCATGGTGCCTTTCAGTGCAAGAATTGTCTATTGAAGTAACAGAGTCACTTTTAACAGTTTTAGCTGCATTGCTTCGGATACCTGAATGTAATAAACGACTATGTGGAGCGTCGCAATTGTCAATACCACAGGTGTTAGTCAAATTGCATTTCTTGCCAAAATGATTTGAGCCTAAACATCTGTAGCAAAGGTTCAGCAGTTTTGCTATTTCCCATCTCTTTGGTATGGGCATAGATTTGAACTTGACACAGTTTGTGATAGAATGGTTCATTTGACATATTATACACCTCTGACCAAATTCAGCTTGTTTGCCAAAGAACGACCCTGGTTTTCGTACGTCTCTATTCATTGCTCTACCCATTTTGGAAACCCCACGAACAGTCTCTGAAGCAATAGTACGAAACTCTGCTTCCATCAATACCCACTCACGCAAAGCTTCAACCGACTCCTGTCGTTGAGTCTCATAGATCCATCTTTGGTAATTACCAATCATTGATTCTGTCATTTTCTTTAGTAGCTGTACATACAATGACCCATAACCTAACTCTTCAACCTTATCAGATTCTTTCATGTTCACAACTACCAAATCCAACATATCTGCAAATCGCTCAACATCAGTTGCATTGCCTGGACGAACTGGTCTGAAATTAGATATTTCCTCTAGTTGCAATGCAATATGACGTCGCATTCCCCCAAACTTCCTATCTAATCTCTCTAAAGCAACGTCATATGCCGTGGCACTGTGCCCTAAATCCTGAATGACCTTCAAAGCTTCACCCCCTACATACTGACGAAGTTGAAGCAACTTGTACTCAGGAGTAGCTGGTGCTTGGTCTATACAAGCAATGAATGCGGCCTTCCAAGCCTCATATGCTTTAGCATCACCAGTAAATACTGGAATTGATACGCGTTTCAACTGTTTCCACATATCTTTGCCAATATCATTACAGTGAGAGAGGACATGTGTGTTCTGATCAGAGCTATCAATAACTTGCCTAGAACGCTGGGTTTGTGGTAATTGTAACTGTTGGGGATTAGGAGAAAAGGGTTCAGTTTTACCTCTTGTAGAACATTTTGATGTAGCATCTGACCTTGATTTGAGATAACACTGGGCTTCATTTTGAGCGGCTGTACCTATCTCATCTACATGTTCACCTTCTAGCATAACCTTTACACTGTTGTCTTTATCACCTAAGTTTTCAAACAACTCAGAGAGCTCAACAATAATCTCAAGAGCTTTAGACTGACAATCATTGACCTTATCAATTGCATCCCTAATGTCACTTCGTGACGAGATTTGTTCACTATCAATCAATTTCTCCAACATGTTCTTGGATTTAGTGAATGCTGATTTCACAATCATCTTTTGACGTTTCAGTTTGATAACTTTATCTTCGTCATTGTTCTCATTTTGTGTTGAGGACGGAAGGGAAAGATTTGCTGCAGTTTCTAAAGTAATCTCATCACCAATACTAACTTTCCTGGTCCCTTTCACGGACTTATCACTTGACTGTGACATTTTGAATATCAGATCTAGTCACACTATATAGAATGTTCAGAAGAACCACACTGATGTACAACCAGTGCGCTTAAACCCACACATTCTATTGTTTACACAAAACAATTACCAATATCAAACCCAATGTAAAAAATTATGAATTTAATCTAAGAAAGGTGCTCAACAAAGCATGATTAATAACCACGCTCTGCTACCATTTGGAACGCAGTGGAAGCTGGTAAATTACGTAGTCAAGGGACAACAGAGCACTTTTCTGTAGTTTTTTACAGTTTTATTCCCAAGAGTTTATAATCCCCAATATGTACAAATATATTTACAT